AGTCGAATTTGTTCTCAACGACACAAACTTAAAAACTACGCTGGTAGGTCCCAAGCACAGTCATTGTGGATCCTCTGGGGCGCTGGGAACAGTAAACGTGGTCATCTTGACACTGCTGCTGGGTAGCTGGATCATGGCTGGGGTAATGTGTTGGATGTTGTTCTCTTGTATCAAAGCCTTGCTGGGTAGTTTGAATGAGACAAAGGGAGCAATGGTGTATCACCGAAATCAGGTAACCACTCCCAAATATCTGCCTGCTGCAGAGCTATCCGATACTGATAGTGAACGGCCGGAAGTTTAAGGTCTAGGGCTAATGATGATGCCCGATGCCTCATTTCTATGTACCTTATAACTGAGAGCAGGTATACGCAATGTTCTTTCCAACAAAATTTCCTGTACAAATTCCCGAGAGGTAATGTGAATATTGGGTGGTAAAATCCACCGTGGTACAACAAACATCACTTAACTGTTTTTGTTTTGAAGGCAACAACGCCTCAGGACTTCATGACCTTCAAAAAGGGGGGATATGTAGCGGCAATGCTTGTTAATAAGACAGAATTAAGCGTTGGTATGCTTTCCTAAATGAGGCCCCATCTCACCCTCCATCTCTGTGGTGCAGCCACAGAGAAAGTATTCATGCAGGCTGATTTAAGATGTTTTCTTTTGATAAGGAACAGCTCCCAGATGGGGATGCACTTAGCTAAGCCTGGCTATCACGATCAATGGTCATCCATTGGCACCTATCTGTCTAGGGAGTGCCGAATGGACATCTGGACTGCATTCTTAAGTGTCAAGAGTATGTGACTTATATCTCACCTTGATCAACCAATCAGGGACTGGCAGGGCATGGTAATACCACATGGGTCTCCAATGCCCGCCAAACTCTCAACCAATCAGCACATGTCTGTGTCTTGGTCGAAAAGGGAGGGCAAGCTCAGATTGGGGCTCTCCTTGGCCATTTTCGCGCATCCTCAGAGACAATCACGTGACAACTGCTGTTGTCTGCACTGGGACTTGGAAGCTCAGATCGGGGCTCTCCTTGGCCATTTTCGCGCATCCTCAGAGACAATCACGTGACAACTGCTGTTGTCTGCAAAGGGACTTGGACTTTGTTCTAAGCGCGAGGCCAAGGATCCAGTACGTACTCAGAATTCTACCAATGTGAATGCTCCGGTTGATCAACGGCAGCCTACAGTTGGACCCTCGTCGACAACCTGAATAGCTTATTCAGAAGCAGTGATGGACCGGGAATGATCCAGCTTCTTCCCAGGCAAAAGAGTGACTTGTGAGGACTCGCGGTCACACTCTGTGCATAGAGACTTTCTACTAGCCAGCCGGACTGCTGGTAGATCCCCTCGGAGCAACGACTGCCCTGCGCGCCGCAGTTAGATTCCTCCGCCCGTCCTACACCGAGCTGCACCTCGACTGGTTGGCTGGTAGCCAGAGGACGCAGGGACAACGCCCATTGGACAACTGCTGGAACAGAGGCTGCAACAGAGCCTGTCAGCTGGTTTGGTGTTCGTGCCGGGAAATTCCAAATCCATACACATTGAATAAGTAAACCCCATGTTCTACATTGCGTCTCGAGAATTCAGTTGTACCTCAACATAAGTTGTTATCAATTTAATTCATTGGTAATGTATTTACTTCCGAGATTAGAGTAACAGTGGGTAATAACACTGATTAGCGATTTGGTAACCGAACGATATATATTGACATATATTCTCTGTTGTCTATCTCTTTGTGTTTGCATCTCTTCGAGATTATATACCTTGTATATTGATAACCCTCACAGTAAGGTCTGCCGCTCGTATCCAGGCAGACTAGTATATGTTTGGTGCACAATTTATATTAATAAATGTATCTCGTGTATTGAACCCGTGTGTGTGCGTTGTTAGTTGTTCTGACGATTGATTTTCTAAAAGCCACAATGAACAACCTCGTGATTACTGCTACAATTATTAATTGTCTCAGTAAACCCATCAAACCTCTACACAGCCTATGCATGCTGATGCAGCTACCTACTTGAACTACTGAAATTTTAGTTTGGAATTTTTTTTGTTGTTTTGCAATATTATCAAATTAAATAGCAAGATAAATCTGGACTTCAAGGGTAAATACCTCTCACATGAAGTGATTGTACTTCCAAGGGCATAGTGACAACAAAAATATTAAATATACTGTAACTCTTTACATTTCATTCCTAAGATGACTAATGAGAAAATCTTCACTTTTGCACCCCAAGAACGATCTTTATACTGTAGATATTGAAATATTGATATTTTTAACTACTTACAATACTTACATCTGAGCAGTTTCTCCAAGTCTTTTGCATCACATTGCTAATGAAATTTTTTGCCTTTACAAAGTCTTCGTGGGAAATGCTTCCAGAACCATCCAGAAGAAAGACAAATTCCGTCCCTGCAGCTGTAAGAAAAATTCTCTTGTCACTCAAGTTTCAATTACTTTCACTCAGAATTTCTGTTTGTGCCAAGGTCATATATACAGTAGCACAGCAAAACAATCAATCAATCAAGGTTTATTTTTCAATGCACGACAATACAGCATACAACGGTGGCTGTCGGCAATGAAATGCTTTAACAAGCTTAACAGATCACTTTTCTTTATATACAATTCAAGAGACATTTGTACAAAGCACTATGAAACAATTGCTTTGAAAAATTAAATATTAAATATAACATTTTAGATAGGGGTGCACCAGTTTTGAGGAGTTTCAGAAAAAAAATGGGTCACACACACAAGTGATTCAGATGTTAGAAGCTGCAATACACCAAAGAAAGGTAGTAGCATTCATAACTTGTGAATGCACCAGGTATGCTACTAATGTAGTAAGTATCCCAATTTGCAGGCTGTCCAGCAGAACAGGTGGTGAGGCTAGTCAACTCTTTAACCTGGCTCATTAAGGACCTTCATGTTTATATGAGAGCTAAGAGCTAAACTGATGTAGTAATGAAGGCCTTAAGAGAAAAGCAGGAAGTCTTGAAAAAAAAATTCAGGGCTCACTGTGCAAGTTCACTTTATATCTCCACCCGAAAGACAAGAGTTCTAGTGTGTGCATAAGAAAGGTAAATCTACGTGTACATGGAATGTCATTATCATTTTTTTTTTCATGTGACTATGTCTTTCAATAGTGGTGATCTTTGTAATAGTCATCAATTATTGTGAAACTTTTTACCCTTTAATTTATCCCAGTCTTAGTTTGGTTGAGAATTTAGTAAGGACTCTGACCAGACATTTCCCTGGTGACCTTGAAAGTTTGTACCTGGAGTAATTAATGTATGATGTTCCCAAGCCACACTCAAGGATTGTCTATGGCAGAAATATAGATTTAGACTAGGTTGAACTGATTTTAAATTAGGTTGTTCGAGTAAAGTACTGACAAAGTACATATGCATTTATGTTGTTTGCAAGGCTTAAATATAAAAAGGATATTATTATGGCTATTTTTTTAAATACTGAAGAAGTCTGAAATGTCCTGAAATAATGTTTAATCATTAAAACCTACTGTATGCACCACATAAGATCTTCCGGTTCTTGTATGAGCTGCTGCTGCCCTCAGTCGCCTGACCATTTGGGGGAAGACAATTAACCAGGTGAGTATTTAAGAGTCAGGAAGTAGATGCTTCTTGAGTCAGTCAGTAAGTGAGAGATATCTGTCATCTGTCATAGAGGGCACAGCTGAATTCATGCAAAACTACTAGAGAGAGGAGAAGGACTGACCAGGAACACTGGAAATCTCAATCTGTTGACAAAGAAACAATGAGCATTTGAATTGTCATAGGTTTGTGATAAGTCAAAAGAAGAGCTTTGGAGTGGTTTAGGGTTAGGGTTATGAAACCCCAGGGAGAGACTAAAGTTGGCTTAAAAAGTCTTAAAGACTGATTTTTGTTCATAAAGAGTCCCTGGGAGAGGCTAATGTTTTGAAGTTGGTAAACCACAGCTGCATAGTGGGATACTTATGCAGTGAATAAGTTACTTAGCAGCTCAGGGAAGAGCTTACAGCCTTACTTACCATACGTCTGTGTGTCTGTCCATGTACCCACAATATCTTTTTAATATGATTTTGTTACTCACTCTGGGGCATCTCATTATTTCTAAGTACAATTAATTGAAATTGAACCTTTCTGGATGGTGTGCCTTGTAAGATGCACAAAAATCTCTCTTGCTAAGTGATTATGTGAAATCCAATAAAGCTGGAAAACTAAGTCAATATAAATGTTGGAAAATATGATAATGTGTAAAAATTATTTAGATTTTTAAAATTTTACTTACATTCAAGACTTTAGCAATTTAATCACATACCTTCTTTAACCTGAAGGTCCACCTCACTGTATTCATCACGTACAATAATTCTTTTCACTCCACAGTAGTATTTCCCAGCGTCCTCCAGAGTTAGTCCTGTGATAGTCACAGTGAAGACTCTTGCGGAAGTGTCATCATACAGAGAGAATCTCCCCTCTGTAACACGAGCCTTGTGCTCTTCAGTTTTGATGAGATCAACACACTTGGTAGTAAAAAGTTTATTTTCCTCTTTGCAGAAATACTTCTTGTTTGTTTCATATCCCTTAGAGTATATGCAGCTGATGCTAACAGTTCCACCTTGTTTTCCTGTCACTGTGAGCTTCTCTGCCGACTTCACAGAACCCAGAGCTGTTAAACAAACACATGCCAGGTTATGAAAAAATGGCCACACAACTGCCCGCAAGCAAAAAGTATAAAAGTGATATAAACCAACTTTCCAATACAATCACTTAGCTCTACTTCTAAAAAGAACCAATGATAGTTTATTATGTGAGGCAAAGGATGCAATGCTTCTATTTGATTCAAAGATATGAATATTCAAAGAAATCTAATATGAAAAGGGTAAAATGTAGCCAGCAACCATATCACCCTGGAGCTCACAATTGGCAACCCACTGAAGCTAAGGATGTGTGAGCCTGGCCAGCACCTGGATGGGAGACCTCCTGGGAAAGTTAAGGCGGCTGCTGAAAGTGATGTTAGTGGAGACAGTAGTGGAGGCTAACCCTTTGGTCTGTTGGGTCCCAATGCCCCATTATAATGATGGGACACTAAAAAGGTGCCGTCCTTCAGATGAAACGTTAAACCAATGTCCTGACTCTCTGTGGTCATTAAAAATCCCAGGGTGTTTCTTGAAAAGAGTGGGGCGTCAACCTGGAATCCTGGCCAAATTTCCCATGGGCCTTTATCAATCATGGCCTCCTCATAATCTCCATCTATGAATTGGCTTCATCACTCTCCTCCCCACTGATAGCTAATGTGTGGTGAGCGTACTGGCACACTATGGCTGCTGTTGCATCATCCAGGTGGATGCTGCACATTGGTAGTGGTGGTGGAGGGGAGTCTCCATTACCTGTAAAGTGTTTTGAGTGGAATGTCCAGAAAAGTTATATATAAGTGTAAGTTATTATTATTAATGTAATAATGTAAATAAATGTAATAATGGGACAAAATATGTAATGTATTTTCGGCGAGACTAACGTAATGAGGAAATGGCAGCCCAGCCATGAGGAGAATGCTGCCAAATCCCCCCTCTCCACCCCACTATTGCAGGGAGTGAGCTAGGGAGTTGCTGCAATGGTGTTTGATTTATTTAGGCATATATTTTCACTTAGAATTAAGCATTACTAAAGATTCTTAATAATCTTTCTGTGCCTTGACCAAGCAACATGGGACTCATGTATAAAAGCAGAGGAATGCAGCAAAGAACAGTTTTCCCAAGATGTCCACAGGCCAGGACATTGTCTTCTAAACAATCTAAGGACATATACAGATGTGCCGATGGGCTTCAGTGATTCTTTAGTCTGTTTTTCCCCAAATCCAAGCACAATCCAACAATAAGGAACTTGTAGGGTATATATAGGTGGACTAGTCCACATCTTTGATTTTGCACCTTAAATCTACCATTTGGTGATCACTTCACCATCACTTGGTAGTCTTGGACTTAAACTTTTCTCCAAGTCACTAGGCCGAGAATGAGTCAGAAAAGTACAGAATTCTCCCCATACTATTTTTTCTAAAAATTAAGAAATCTTGTGTTCATGAACCCATTGTTATTTTCACCCGATCAACGAAATAAGACAGTTGGGCTCTTTCTTTGTGCTGACATCCTGAATATTCAAGCATATTCAGTATCAAGCTATAGCTGGGACAAACTGATTTCTTCAACCCATCTACCTTGCAGTTGGACCCAAGAATAAAACTACATACAGGTTTTTAAAGACCAAAGTTCATGAAGGCGCTTACTTTAGGCAAAGCTGTCCTCTGCAGAGCTAGGCAATGCTCTTTTTTCTACTCTCTTCTCTATGGGACACTCCCTGCACAAAAAAGTAGCTACCAAATTGGACCATAGACCAACACAGCCAGCTCTGGGAAGTTTAAACTCTTCAATGACATTTGGCCAACTGATCTTTGAGTATAAAAGTTTTTTTTCACATTCTGATTCTCAAGAACTAAACTGTTATTCTTAACATGGGTTTGATAGTTCACAACAGTACATGTATATTTACTTGTATCTGATAATATTAATGTGATGAAATTATATGAGACTGATAAAACCTACACGTTAAATCTATATTTGTTAACACTGAAGTTATCAACTCTTCTACTTTTAAGCCCTAAGTGAACTTCTTGTTTTATCACAGCAGATTATTTCACTAATAAATATATTATTTTAAGTTTGTTGTTCTTTATACATGTTTTGGTATTATGTCAATAAATTGTGTATTTTATATTTAGAATCTGTTAATTTGACTGTAAATTATTGTGTAATAGGTTTATTCCATGCTGAAAAGAGAAGAAAGAAAACACAATGTTTCGGCCGTGGAGCCTGCTCAAACCTGAAGAAGTGTTATGTTTTCTTTCTTCTCTTCTCTATTACTTGTTCCTTTGCAGGTAAGCCAAGGATTGCGAGAAGGAAGACCTGGATGTGAGATTTATATAGATAGGCAAGCGGATATATGCAAGATTAGTTCCTCATGAACTCTTTTAAGCGCTTAATGCAAAAATCAGGTCTTCAACAATAAGATATACTGCAATATACTACAATACTTCTGGATTAGAAGATTAGGAAGAGAAGAATTTCCTACTTCCTCCAGTCTGCTGTCTACACATACAACATACAAACTGCATGCCCCACCCCCTTCCCCTCTAATGAGTGAAGTCTGTCTTGACTTTGTTGTTTAAGTGTGTGAGAAAACAAGAAATGTAATCTTTGTACACTTGTATGTTTCTTATAAGAATTATAATTCAGACTAAGAAACATAATTTTACTTATAATTTATGAGAATTACAGTTTTGTTTTTATTACAATAAAAATAAATCTCATATTAACTTTGACAGCATTGCTTGTCCCTGACCCTTATGAATCTATATTGTTAATTGCAATTGAATAGCAACATCTAATATGAGTGTACACAAGAGGCAACAAGTGAACATATTATTTTAACGTTTTTTGGGCCAAATTTCCCATGCCTCCTAATAATCCCCCTCTATGAATTGGCTACATTACTTTGTTTTTCTCCCCCCCTCACTCCAAAGGCAGGCGGAGTTATTTTAACGTGCATTTTATTACCACATTAAAAGTGTTTTCTTTCATAAATGATTTACACCCCTTCTCTTTTAGAGAAACACCCTGGGATCTTTAATGACCGCAGAGAGTCAGGACCTCGGTTTTACGTCTCATCCGAAGGACGGCGCTTATTTACAGTATAGTGTAAATAATAGTATAAAAGTATGGTGTCCCCGTTGCTATACTGGGGCATTAGGGGCCACCTGGACCGCAGGGTGAGCACCCACTGCTGGCCTCACTAACACCTCTTCCAGCAGCAACCTTAGTTTTTCCCAGGAGGTCTCTCATCCAGGTACTGACCAGGCTCACACCTGCTTAGCTTCAGTGGATTGCCATTTGTGAGTTGCAGGGTGATATGGCTGCTGGCGAAATGCAGTCAAGCACTAGTGTGACATAATGACCTTACCATTGTAGGGTTACCTTAATTGGATCATGGCAGCTCTGAATCATTTGAAGACTCTAATCTGGTTTGTGAATTTTCCATAACACCCTGTAGCAGAAGTTGATGCTTTACAGAAGCAATCTCTCATTTGGTCTCTCCTAATTTGTTACATACAGTATTGTTAAGAATTCTGCATTATGTCTTATTTTTCGTGTTGTGGCATCACTCCTTGACATTCACACCTGAAGAAGGTTCCACGGCTGAAAAGTTGTGTTTTCTTTCTTCCTTTTTTTCAGCATGGAATAAACCTATTACTTGTTCCATTGCTGTATTAATATATTATTATATTATGAATGCTATAATTATGCAACCACTATTTATGTTAAATTGAATATATTTATAGCCACGTGATTTTTTTAAAAACTAAAGTAATTTTTAAGAAAAATATTTTAATGTGACAGAAAATACTTCAAAAGTTAAGAATGATTCTTGACAAAATCTGTTACAATTTTTAATCAAAATAGTTACTCCTATGTCCTAATTAGGAGTCTTTTTTATTTTTATCTTGTGGCACCGGGATTTGTGCAGCCTAAAACCCATGTATTATCTTTCAAATGCACCTTTTGAAATGACTGGATAGTTAATGCCTCCAAATCGCTTTCTCATTCTGTCTGAGGGGTGGGGGATGAGGCTGAAGCCCATGTCCCCAGAACTCAATATCCACCATAGGTTTAATAGGTTATAAATGTAAGTGAATATTTTACGTACTGTGATATATAAAATGAATAAAAACGTCAATATAGTATTAGATTGTTTTGTGTTACATTCTGTAATTTGCCTTATGCTAAGGTGCATTAATTACCAGGAGACTTAGATGCTGACAGGAAGACACCCTTAGGGTTTTATGGGAATTGGAATTATTAAACTAAAGCAGCATAGGTGTCTATAGGGAATGTGTAATGAAGAAAGGGGGTGAAAAGAAAAGCCTTTCTTAAAAAAGGCCAAAAGTATAAAAAACTAAAATTTAGATTTAAAATTTTATCATTAAAGAATTTGAAAATATACATAGTGGCTTTAATTTTGTATTAAAAATAAAATACTATATATACACATAAAAAACAGAAATTGTGATTTTTGTTTAGGGCTGTCTTTAAATTCCCTTGCTTTTTCCGAGCATCCAGGAGACTGTTGTTCTTGAGGTTCATTCATGTTATTACTTTATTAATTATATTATTTTAATATTTGAAACGTTTTTTGTGCATAAAATTAACAGTAAATGTAGTTTATATATTATTTTATTATTAGAAAAGCTATTATTATTAAAATGATTACTTGGATTTTGACCGGTATCAAACCCTATCGCGTGATAGTGCAGAATTCTACCACTGAGATGCCAATGCGTCATTCTGATTTGTGTTTCATTTTCCATTCCAACATATGTAATTAAATGAGCACATCAATACTCTCAAAATAACCACAAGAAATGAACGATTAAAAGACGTTGATGAAGAAAATGTTTATGAAGTAGGAGGAATATTATTGTGTACCTTATTTTTTTAAGCTACTGCTACCTTCTACTAATGTATATTATTTTTTTATTCATAAATTAATAGCATTAATGACATTCAGATACATTATTATACTTTTTATTTTTATTTTAAGCTACCACAATTTGTATTTACTTAATTCCATATTGTTTACAGCAGTAATGACAGAATTATTCATAGAAAGGGTTAAAAAATAATAGAATTTTGTAAAGTATATAAACTTTATCTAGTTAGAGCAAGTACATCAAAACTTCTAAATTAACCATGGTAGGTGTGCTGAGTTAAATCATTTGATACAAAAACTGTTTATGAAGAAGGTGGAATAATATTAAGTGTTGCTGTGCATACCTAAATGAGGCTCCCATCTCTCTTCCTCATCTCTGTGGTGCAGCCACAGAGAAGCTATTCATGTGATTTCTGATTTAAAGTGTTTTCTTACTGATATGGAACCATCCCAGGATGGAGATGTGTCCATTACTCATGATAAATGCAACCATTTTGATGCCTCATTGTCTAGTAAACTTTAAGCTCAACTGGTTTATGTTTTTAGGGTTATAGGTCATTGATACTCATCCCTCACCTTGGCAAACCAATCAGGAACCTGCGGGGCATGTGGGTCTCAAATGCCTGCCAAACTCTCAACTAATCATCGCCCATCTTTGTACTAGTTAAAAGACACTGCAGCGCTCAGAACTGTGTTTCTCCAGCCATTCTCGTGCACCCTTAGAGACAATCACATGACTGCCAGTGTTGTCATGGATGGATGGATTAATACCCTCATTCATTTATTTCCTTTTTTAAAATTTTATAATCCACAAGTATTTAACAACTACAGGCCTGTCTCAAATATCCAATTTCTATCTAAAATTCTTGAGAGAATAGTTCAATCGTATCTGGACTCAAATAATATACTTGAGATATTCCAGTCTGGTTTCCGCCCCGGCCACAGCACAGAAACTGCATTAACAACAGTCGTAAATTATATTCTGTTAGCCAATGACGCAGGTGTCGCGCCCCACACTGTCCCTCACAAATGCCGTTACATTCCCAAACCCACTGGTTCACAATCCCATTCCTAATTGAACCCATTACATTCCCACATGGACCAGATTCCACAAACTCTCACTCCCAGACCAATTATCCAACCTCGTCCCTTTCCCTTCAGTATTTAAAGTTCCCTCACACACCAATCCCATGCTCACTATTGATAAGCCTTCTGTAGAATTCTCTTGTGCGTGTTTCTAAGCCTTCTGACTGATCTCCTGGTACCAAAATTTGCTCCTGCCTTTTGACCACGCCTTTTGGATTTCATTTTTCAATTGTCTTTTAGATTTCCCTGGTTACCGGACTCATTGCCTCCCTAATTGACCAAGCCCCTGGATTACATCTTTTGGATTGTCCCTGTGCTACTCCGCATTCTGCTAAATTCACAATTACGCAAAAGGATCCTCCTATTCCACCGATTGGTTCCCTGACAGCAGGGAATGCAACAGTGCTTGTGCTTCAAGATCTTAGTGCTGCTTTTGACACGGCTGACCACTCTGTTTTGTTACACAGGCTTGAATTTGAGGTTGGCTTATGTGGAACCGTCCTAAAGTACTAATACTTTACTTCATATTTAACTAATCGTTTTCATTATGTTCATATATCTAATAATTGTACTGCTTCTTTAATGTCACCAGTTCAATTTGGAGTACCACAAGGGTCAGTGCTGGGACCAATATTGTTCTCTCTCTACATGCTGCTGCTAGGTAGGATAATACAAAAACATAATATTAACTTTCATTCATATGCTGACGACAATCAAATAGACATTTTGTTTACACCTAACAACAACTCATCTATGATTACTTTAGTTACTTGCATTAATGAAGTAAAGACTTGGTTGTGTTAAAACTTTTTGTTACTTAACTCTGATAAAACTGAGGTCCTGTTGTTTGGAGGCAACAATACTGATAGGACTACTATAACTTCAGCACTTAACTCCGATTTAAAAATTTGCCTCAAATACTCAACACATAACCTAAGCGTCATATTAGACACAAGTCTCTCGTTTAACTCTCATGTTAAAAAAATATCAAAAACATGCTTCCTACAGTTAAGAAATATGCAAAACTAAGGCAGTTTCTCTCCACTCAAGACACAGAGAAACCAATAAATTCTCTTGTATACAGCAGGTTAGACTACTGCAATCCCTTCTATCAGGCAGCACCCCTTCACTCTTTCAACACCTTACAGCAAATTCCAAATGCAGCAGCTAGAATTGTTACTAGGAGCAGAAAGTACAACCATATAACACCTGTACTTAGCTCTGTTCATTGGCTTCCTGTCAGGTACAGGGCGGACTTCAAAATCCTTCTACTTCCTTACAAGGCTCTCAGAGGTCAGGCTCCTGTCTATCCAATTGAACTTATTAATGTAGACAATCAAGTCGCCCGCTTAGATAAAAACATGGAGGTCTTTTTCATATTTCACGCATTAATAAAAAAAAGCCTTGAGCTACAGGGCCTCTAGCTTATGGAACAGTCTCCCACCCCATGTTTGGGATGCCGAGTCAATCTCGGTATTCAAATCCAGACTGAAAACCTATTACTTCAGCCTAGCCTACTCACACCTTATATCATAACCTGCTGCAACCATGGCTACTGGTGCTGCTGTACACATATTCCATTGTGTGTCCCTGTGTTGGCCCACCATGGAGATACATCTGTTCTGACCAAACTATCCTATTCTCCTCCCCCTGAGTTGGATTTAAATAATATACCTAAGAAGGTAAACCTGGGGAGCTTAATCACAGGAACAATAACAGGAGTAGTGGAGCGCCTTCTAGGGAGGGATGTCAGGCGTGACACCATGTTTGGATAAGCAAACCCAATAATCTATATTGCCGACTGAGAATTTAATTGTTTCTCAGCATGGGATTATATCAATTTAATTCATATGAGTAACGCATTTACTTATGAGTATCTAATGTAGAATTCATATTCATGAGTCTGATTAACGAAACAGTATAGCTGAATGCACATTCCTTGTTTGTCATCATATATCCCTTGTATTTTGGTAACCCACATGATAAAATCTGCTATCTGCTATCTGTATCCAGGCAGACTGTTATATGTTTTATATGCACAATTTATGTATTAATAAATGTATCTCGTGTATTGAATCTGTGTGTGTGTGTTGCTGATTGTTCCTGATGATTGATTTTCTAATAACCAACTCGTGGTTTACTGCTACAATTTATAAATTGTAATTGTAGAAACCCCTACAATATTATTAATTCATTTTATGACATTCAGAGATGTTATACACCTGTTATTTTTATTTTCAGCTAACAACATTTCCATATTCCATATTAAGTGGATTTAAAGCAGTACAGTAGGGGAAAAAATTAAATGAAACAATCGCTTCAAAAATATCTAACGAAGTGCCCGCTACCAATTTGCTTTGGCTGGTAAACCACACACGAAGTACAATGCACTGTGCTGCAGAACCTCAAGTATTACTATGCATTCTGAGTGGTTGCATCTGGGATCTGTATGTTTCTTATGAGTATAAAAATTAATAAAACTGCAATGGTCCCTGTTCTTGGGGCATCTAGCCATATATATGACAATAATATATTTTTTTTATTTTCTACAGAATATAGTAATACTGTTACAAACCAATTCAGTCATCATTATTCTACTAATGTTTTCAAAATTAATTTGTCTGACACTTATACATATCAAGACAACTACTGTTTGTATCCATTTATACATAAAGCTATTTAATTTTAGGGAAATAATGGAATTACATTGCTCCAAAATGCAAAAATCCTACCCATGATTTAAGTCCACAATATTCTACTTACTAGTCAAAAGCTCAAATCACTTCTCAGTGCTGACACCTTACAAGCATATTGTTAGTGGCCTCAAAACAGTGTACAAAATGTCCCAAATTACGGAAATGGTGTCATTAGCTACTTGTACCTAAATCTTGAACACCCACAGGTATTCATCAACTTCAGCTGCAGTCTTCAAAATATCCTGTCTTATCCTGTCACTTTACTAACCTATTTCAAGACTTTATCATTTCTAGTTACAGTACATACCTTGTTTGACATGTAGGTCCACCTCAGTGTATTTATCACTGATAATAATTCTTTTCACTCCACAGAAGTATTTCCCAGCATCCTCCAGTGTCACTCCCATGATAGTAACAGTGAAGACTCTTGCCGAAGTGTTGTCAAACAGAGAGAATCTTCCATCAGTATACCGGGTGTTGTGCTGATCAGTTTTAATTAGATCAACACACGTGGTACTCAGCACTTTTTTTTCCTCTTTGCAGAAATACTTAGCATTTGTCTCATATCCCTGAGAATATATGCAGCTGATGCTGACAGGTCCACCTTCATCCGCAATCACGCTGAGCTTTTCTGCTGACTTCACAGAACCCAGAACTGTCAATTAAAGAAAATTTAGAGCATAGACATATTAACTACTTTATACAGCAAAAATACTACTTCAGAACATGCAAACAATCCTAATCACAATTATGACTTTTAATGATTTTTTACTTACTATAATTTGTAATGCTGAAAAACAATATTATTTTCTGTCAGAAAACCCCCAGATATCTAACTGTAGAACTTATTTACATACACTAATCAACTACCCATGGTAATATGTGTAACAAAAATTAATACATTTGTCACATTTACTTTTTTATCCCAGTGTATGATACTGCAATTACTACACAGCTTTTATAATGCAGCTCATTCCCTTCGGATGTGCTGTGTTTTGATGGGTAATGTCATAGTCAGCATGTTTCTTACTGACATTATTTCCGCTAAAAGCTGTATCTTTACTGAAAATGCTGACAATGTTATCTAAATGTATTAGAGTTGTTTTAAGAATATATAAATAGGGAAATCATGTGCACAGTACCTGGTTCAGTGATAAAATAGATTTAAAAATGCATTTCCTGCCCATTAATACAATTTAATGCACCATAAAAATTAAATTCTATGTGATAGCAATCACCATCTTAATAGTCTGGTCTCAGATCTCAGAATCTAAGGAAAGATGGCCCTGCTCAGTACTGGGATGGAAAATGTGTCAGTGGACCAGTAGGAAGCACTCTTCCCTCTGAACCAGAATTTCCAAACCAATGTATCATAGTGATAAGGATTATTTTAGTGATTGTTTTTTCAAAATAACCCGGAGGCTGAACATTTAGACTGCTATGATCACTATGATCTTTATCTAAACAGAAAGGCAGGAGTCACTCCAATTATTAAGAGCTGCAGGCATATAGTGTTTAGAGGAGGATTGTATGAATAACGGTGTCAAATGAAGCACAAAGATCCAGCAAAGATGAAGCTACGGCAAAGTGAAAACGAGTTTGAGTGAAAATTGCATAATACCCAAAGACAGCAAAACACTCATTACACTTGATAAAGGGGTAAAGATTAGAAAAACTGGACATCTTTTTCCAGTGAGAGAAACTGATTTATGATATTGATAACTTTGTTCTGAAAACAACAAAATATATTTCTTTGATATTTTGTGGCAGACAGAGTAAATTTGTTTTTTGGCACTAGTATGCTGTTGAATCCAAGAAAAAGTATTTTTCATCATACCTGTATGTCTCTTATTTTTTAATGTGTCTTAATGTGTTAAATGTACTGTGTATTGTGTTATGTCATCTACCTCTCTGCAAAGCAAATTTCTCATACGGGACAATACAATATTCTTGCTGATGTTAGTACCATCCATTGACCCTATTTTGGTGCAAACACCTCTACATAAACTGCCATCTTCAGCAAAGAATTTAATAGATTTCCAATTAAACTGTAATTCAATTATTTTAAATTTAATTAGTTTAATTAATGTAACACTTTCCAATCAGATGTTATTGGAAAGTAAAATAATATTTAACATCACAGTTTAAATCAATCTAAATTTAAACTTTTATTAAATTTATTTATAAATGCCTTATTTGTAAATTACTTGTACATGTCTACGTTCTAGCATCCAGCATGTCAGGACTTGGTCTATTTTGTCACATACCTTCTTTAACCTGAAGGTCCACCTCAGTGTATATATCACGGACAATACTTCTTTTCACTCCACAGAAGTATTTCCCAGCATCATCCAGTGAGAGTCTTTTGATGGTCACAGTGAAGATTCTTGCTGAAGTGTCATCATACAGAGAGACTCTCTCATTAGTAACCCGTGTGTTGTGCTCTTCTGTTTTAATGAGATCAACACACTTGGTACCCAGCAGTTTTTTTTCCTCCTTACAGAAGTACTTTGCATTTTTCTCATATCCCTCTGAATATGTGCAGCTGATGCTGACAGATCCATCCTCATCTCCAGTTACCGTGAGCTTCTTTTCTGACTTCACAACACACAGAGCTGTCAGTTAAATAAAATGTTACATTTAATACTGTAACTGGTATTTTCAAGAACATTCACATTCATCTGAAAAACAACCAATACATTGTTATTGTTCTTTCCAAGTGTACAATAGCCACTGCGGATATAATTATACACAAAAATCAGTTATATATTTACCTGTGGGCTTCTGCTGAATATGCTGAAACTTTAATGACTCTCTTCCAGATATCACCATATTGCTATTGGCTTTTTTTGTCTTACATGAAGTGGGAGAACCTATTAAGTTTATGCTAACTACAAAGGCTGATTTTTATAAAGCAAAAAAATCACTGACTTTTTTCACACCCTTAGCAGTCCCCAATGAAATGTGGCAGTATTTTTTCCATATTATATACCATAAATACCATATATACTATATTACCATATTTAATTGTAATTGTTTTTGTTTGATTTTAATTATATATACTGTACATTACAGTTAGAGCTTTACTATAATTGGTGTGTAAATAATTAATGAGATTATTATATACAGTGTAAGTCTGTTTAACAAGGATGTACCATTCTTAAGGAAACCCATAATGTCAGAAAGTTAACTCTTTTAACATATTTAAAATAACATAAATTAAGCTTGTCAATAGAATGTTATGATTAACCCAATTAAAACCTCTCCAAGAGTATCCAATGCTCTGACATCTGTGATACATACTGTACTGTAGTTTTCACCTCTCCCCAGTATGATATTTGGCACAAGGACACCTTGTGGTCCAATATCTATACCGATGTCTGTGATCCAAGAAGAACAGATGAAAAAGAGATAGAATCAAACCAGTGACAGAACCGTATGTCTTCCAAGACTCTACCTCCTACTAGAACTGCAGTGTAGGAGCCTTCAAACAAGAGCCCCACAGGATGCTTAGAAGATCAGAACTGCCCTTAGTGTTTTCTTGTTTATTTGGGCCTAGGTCTTCTGTTGATAGTAAAAGGCAAATGTTCTGTTCTGTACATAGTGTTAGTCTGGATCATTGCAAACGAAACCCAGAATTGGCCCTGGTGCTGAGTTGATGGGAATAGGGACATGTCTGAGAGAAGATTGAGTTGGATACTTGCGTTAGGGCAGTAAAGGGACTGGTGGCCCTGTGAGACTCCCCATGAGACTGCCAAGAGCTGTACTGCATCTTGGGAGTGCCTGATACTGGAGATGTACAATGCCTACTTGTAGTTTCAAGGACACTTTAGCATAAAGTATTGACAGTGGTCTAAAAAGCACCTAGTGCTGGGTACCCTGGAGGTGCAAGGACTCTGCAAATGTTGAGGCTCCACTTCAATCAATCAAATAATATATCAAAGTTTATTTATCAAATGCACAACAATAGAGCATGCAGCAGTAGTTGCTGGCAATGAAATCTCTTTTCTACGAGCTCACCTGGGGGTAAAAATCACAAAATTAAGGTTACAAAATAAGGTTACATAATAATAGCTAATAATGTAATAGAAATTGAATAAAATAAACTCAGACAAAACTCAATATAAATAGAGCTGCTATGTGTCCAGGGTGTATGTGAAATATCATGTCCAAGTAGTGCAGTATGCAGAATACAGTGAAAACTGTATTTCCATGTGGCCATTATGGGTGATTTGCTAAAGGAGCTGCAGGTTGGCTATTTAGCAGTCTTATTGTCTGGAGGTTGAAGCTGTTCCGTAATCTGTTTGACTTTGACTGAAAGCTTTGGTACCATTAACTGGATGGTAGGAGAGAAAACAGTTTGTGACTGGGATGACTGGGGTCCTTGAGAATGGACCTGCACTTCCTAAGACTTTTAGCTAAGTAGATATCCTGGATGTTTGGTGGCTCACAGGCAGTAATGAGTAAAGTACTTTGCAATCCCGGGCAGAGCAGTTCCCATACCAGGGAGTGATGCATCCAGTCAGGATACTCTCAATAGTGTACCTGTAGAAGCTGGCCTGGATATGTTCTGGCATGCCAAACATCTTTAGCCTACAGAGAAAGAATAGGCTCTGCCATACTGTTTTGACCACGATGTTGGTGGTGGGTCCAGGTTAAATCCTCTGTGATGTTAACTCCCAGGAACTTAAAACTGCTGATCCTCTCTGCTGCAGTCCCATTGATATAGATAGGTATGTGATCTCCTCCCTGAGTTTCCTACTGTACTGTATATACCACAATCATCTCTTTAGTCTTACTGATGTTCAGAGAGAGGTTGTTCTCCTGGCATGCTAGGGTTTCAACCTCTTCCCTGTATGCAGACTCTTCACCATCTGTGATCAGGCCAATGACTGTTGTATCGTCCGCAAACTTAATGATGGAATTTGAGTTATGCCTGGCGACACAATCATGGGTAAATAAGGAGTAGAGGACAGGGCTAAGCACACAGCCTTGGTGGGCTCCAGTGTTTAGAGTCAGGGTAGAGGATATGTTGGTGCCCACACTCACCACCTGCTGACATTCCGTCAAGAAGCCCAGGATCCAATAACAAAGGGAGGTATTCAGTCCCAGGTCCTGGAGCTTGATGACAAGCTTTGAGGGCACTATGGTATTGAATGCTGATCTGTAATCAATAAACAGCATTCTCACATAATGTTCCTTTCTTATCCAGGTGTGAGAGGGCAGTACGGAGGGCAGTGGCAATAGCATCATCTGACCTGCTGTTGACCTGCTGTGGTGATACGCAAATTGCAGTGGGTCTAGGGTGTCAGGCAGTGAGGAGGTGATGTATGCTTTGACCAACTACTCAAAGCACTTCATGATAACTGATTTGAGTGCAACGGGGTGGTAGTCATTCAGACAACTGACTCTGTGTTTCTTAGGAACAGGGACAATGGTGGTTTTCTTAAAGCTGGAAGGAACTATAGACTGAGCTAGAGAAAGATTGAATATGTCGGAGAAGTCATCTGCCAGTTGATCTGCACATGCCTTCAGAACACGGCCAGGGATAGTATCAGGGCCAGGAGCCTTGTGTGGATTGGTCTTTTTAAAAACTTTACACACATCAGCTCTAGATATGATCAGTGGGTTTCCGTCTTGGATTTCTGGAATCCTCCAGGCTAGATCTGTGTTACTGACCTCAAACCGAGCATACAGTAGAATGAATTTAGTTCATCAGGAAGAGAGGCAGACTGTTGTGCGATATAGCTGGGTTGCGTTTTGTGGTCTGTAATGGTGCGTATATCACTTTACATGTTCTGTGTGCTGCAGCCATGATAATATGACTCTAATTTAACCCTGTAGTTGTATTTAGCTATTTTGATAGCTTTACTGAGGTCGTTTCTGGATTTTTTGTATCTATCCATATTGCCAGAATTGAAAGCAGCTGTCCTAGCTTTAAGTTTGGCGCGTATCTTGCCATTTATCCACGGTTTCTGATTTGGATATGTGCGAACAGTAATCCTGGGAACCACGTCTTTAATGCATTTTCTGATGTAGCCAGTAACATAGTCCATATACAGATTGATATTATTTCAATCTGGATAAAGAATAAATTATTTTATAGTGCTGGCTTCAGGAAACAGCCTTTCCACCTCTTTTGCACATCAGTATCCATAACTAGTTCATTATTTAAACAAATTGACTCTAAATATAAACATCTTAAGATGCTGGCTCTGGCTCAGCATCAGCTACTGTATGTTTGCCTATTCCTTCAATTTATGTGCATTCGACACACTGTTCAATGCTAGCAACTGCACAAAATCTAAAATACAATCCTCATTTCAGTATCTATGTAAACATTCAGTCTGTTAACTTGCTTAACTGCTTGTATTAATTTGTTTAAATCACAAATAACATACATAAATACAGGTCATATAGCACTCTGCATTGTGGAAACATCACACTGGTTTAGTTTTATTTAAAGGGAACTAGAGAAACCAAGAAAGGCTTTTTCTAGAATTAATAAATGCACATCCTGTTACCTGGGGTAATTAAATCCACACTGAGCAATCTGAGAATCCTGATCAGGTAGCAAGCAATCACATTACACCTGTCTTTGAGTCTTTGCACTGGCTTCCTATCAGGTACCTATCTGTCTTATTATCTGTCTACTCCCCACCTTGCAATCTTTGTTCATCTGACTCTGGTCTTCTAGCTGTCCTCAAGAAGATCTAGATTCTGTGGGTAATATATAATCACAACTATTAATGTCCCCTGTGGACAGTTTTTGATTATTTATTCTGGTATGTCATACCGAAGTGTAATAATCACTGAAAAAATATGTTTTTTCATTCAGAACCCCACTTCCATTTGCGAACCCCAGGAGCATTACAATATATTCTCATATGCCATGTTCCAAATGTCCCATTTAAATCTGCTGTATTAAAATGTCTTTTAAAATGCAAGATTTTGAGACTTTTAATGATCAGAAGGCAAGGTCGTGGTAAACATGCAGAAAGTGCCAGTGAATTTACTTTTTGTCTTTGTCTTATTTACTTGTTGTCTAACATGCTAGTTTGTGTTATTGTGAGTTTTTAAAATTGGTTTTCGATGTACTGAAATGTGTTTCATACAAAAATACAAGTCACTGTCACTATTTACTTACATATTCCCCCTTTACTGAGGGTCTTTTCTCGAAAAGAGTAGGGGTGTAACCCCGACGTCCTGGCCAAATTTCCCATTGGCTTTTACCAATCATGGCCTCCTAATAATCTCCCTCTATGAATTGGCTACATTACTCTGTTCTCCTCCCCATTGATAGCTGATGTGTGGTGAGCGTTCAGGTGCACTATGGCTGCCGTCGCATCATCCAGGTGGATGCTGCACATTGGTGGTGGTTGAGGGGATTCCCCATTGCCTGTAAAGCGCTTTGAGTGGAGTGTCCAGAAAAGCGCTATATAATTGTAACCAATTATTAATAATTATTATTATATGTACAGTAATCCATCCGAATTAGTACATTTAAAAATGCCTGTACAGAGCCATCTGCAGGCGAAAGGCGACATAACATCACAGCAGCAGCATTTAAGGGGGAACGAAAAATGCAAATAAGAAGCTGGCAAATAAGAAGCCAACTTCAGCCTCATTGACCAAAGTTGACCAAAATGTTGACCAAAAGTGTGCATAATATTTTAAGAATGAGACAAGACCTTAAAAGTACATTATATAATGTTAACATGACATGCTTTTATTTAAATTAATCTTAACTTTATAGTCTTAAATTGTTTGGCTTTTTAATTGCTTCCTGTTTTGTCTTTAAGATGCAAATGATGTGTTCAAATTGTTCAATATGTGTACATGTTCAACTTCATTGTTTTCTATTTAATATTATATTATTTTTTTAATTATATGTTATTTTAACCTGCATTTAAAATTCTGCACTTCTGAAATGTCACAAGTGTTTATTTCTGAACTAGTCTGTTTATTTTGAATTTATTTTGCGGTTTCTGTAGCACCTTACTAATCATTCTGTTTTGGTATCATTTGTGAACTTGACTAGCCTACAAATGATCTAATATTGTAGTATGATCTAATGCTATTTTTCTATAGTTTTATTAAACTTGCTTAATGTGATTCAAATTATGTTATGAAGATATTATTGTTATTAATTTTTTTCCTGGGATGCATTAAAATGCAACAAAGACTACAATTTAAAGCTCCCCCTTTTTTAAAAAATCACTAACCTATTGTTTGTACTTGATCTGAAAAAATGATTGGGAGTCAAAATATCTATTCATTGAAATGTGTCAAATTGAGTCTTTTTTCTTTTGAGAGAAACTCTTTGTGACAGAAATCACAACAGATATTCTAAAGTTAACCTTTTTAAATACTTGAAAATATAAAAATCACATGCTATGGGATTTTCTAGTTGTGTTTTTCAGAGTATTGGGAAGCAGGTCATAAAGATGTAAAACTGGCATTCAAAATAAATCAATAATTTAGTAAACAATTATCTATTATTTAATTAAGCTTCTCATTTAAAAATTACAGGATTAAACACTTGTTTTTCAGGAGTCATTTTTCTGCAAAGTTCTTATCAAAGAAACCTGGGTTTGAAATCTGCAGGAATAAAAGATGATCATTGTTTTTTTAACATCATTTGGTTTGCATACCCCTAGTTTTATTTAACCTGATAATGTTGGAAAAAATAATACATTTTAAGAAAGATTTTAATCTGCTCAAGATTAATTAGCCAAAAAGCAGGCATTTAAGTCTAATCCTTTTTTAAATGTTAGCTTTTCAGATGTGCTAAAGTGTATTTCTTAAACTCAAGCGAGCTGTACTAATAGTTAACTTTGAAAAGAAAAAGAGGACACAATGCACACACTGATTAGTGTAAAACAATGTTATTTATTAACAGCTGGTTATGCATGATGCTTCATAAATTCACTTGAAAGTGTGTCATTGACAAAAACAATTGCTCAAGAAATTCCAATTTCCTACTAGCAGACAAACAAGTCCAGATACAGTATAACATTTTATTACTTTTGTGATGGTTGTGATTATACCTGTTTTTAGTGAACTGCTTTCAAACTTGCACGAGTCAAAGTACAGCTCATGAAAATTAAGTAAAATGTAAAAAATGATCTGTACTTACCTGAAAGGAGGCAAAGAGTAACAGCAAGTGAGTGGGTCATGATGAACTGTTTTCAGTGCTTTTCTCTATTCAGCTATATGTCCTTCTGTACTGCAGGGTAGCAGGGATGACACCAGCTTCTCTACAGCTGCCTCAGTCTGTATTTCTGGACCACTTTCTCCACGCCCACAAGTGCACTCATGCTTCCGTTTCATTACTGTTTCTCTACAACCCCTTTTATATCAAATGTAATAAATGGACCAAATTACCACAACTGGATTCTAACAATTTACAGTGCATGTGAATAAATGATAATAAAAACACTACTCATGTATGATAGAAAATACTTATTTAATAGATAGAATGTATGATAGAAAATAAAAACATTGTCTCAAAAACAGCTTGCTGATATTGGAAATATGAAGATATACAATAATGTAAAATCTTTGAAAATATAGCTACAAATACAGTTTTCATTTACAATCTATAGCTTAGAGATTCCCAACATTACTGAAAGGACACCCACACTAGCATCAAAACAAACAGCACAAAAAGAGCACACCAGGATCATAATCACAATATGACAGTCAAAATATTCCAGATTGCATACGTTTTACTACACAGCTGTCCTGCTGATAAAGGGTTTTCATCAGAAAAAAATATCTACAAGCAAACTCCTATGATGCACTTTTATGAAACTTTCTTTCTCATGTTAAGGAACAGTCCATGAAGGTCCTACTGCCTTACCTCTGAACCCTATAATCCCTCTGAGCCTATGTTACCTCCTTCACATTCCAGTTTTCTGTCTTTTTTCAAAGTCAATACAAGACCCTCTGTTCTGACCTACCATTTTGTCCTCTACTCTTGAGAATTTTGCATTTTCTTAGCTCCTTTATTTCTAACTACGAAAATTATTTAAACTGCGACACTTATCATTCATTCTATTCCATTCCATTATCAGTCTTCAATTTCTCCCTAAACATTTTAAGCATGAAAGTTTTATGAAACAGTACCCAAATATGCGATTGCTGTATAGAATGAATTTTAATTTAAAAAAATTATTTAACACGAAAATTAAGCTGGAAATCTTGCCCCCTTCTACTTTGAAAATACCTGTGAAACTGGTTTAATTCGTCACAGCCAGCACTCTCGCATAGAGGGGGGGTTGTACACGTTAATGTCTTAGCCGGAACACATCATTATATCTCATTTTGTATTTCTTTAAAAAAATTGTTTGCCCAGCCACTATTGCTGTTATTGTTTTTATCCTGTAAAGCGTTTTGGGGAGCACAGCTATCTCACCACTTAGATTACTTTTTGATATCATCCTTACACAAAGCAGAAACTTCATGTATTTTCTGATGACATACAAGTGGAAAGATTACAGATTTTAATCGTCTTTTTTTCTGAACCAGGGAAAATCTGATCATGTTTCTCTATAACAATAATAAAAAAACTTTATTTTACATATCACTTTTAAAAGTGGCATCTCAAAACAATACAGTAGATGTAAACCACAGATTACAAAGTAAATACCCAGACAAACGCAAACGCGTTTTTAATAAAATTTTAATTTAAAATGACTTAAATTCGATCATGTTGTGATAGAAATATAAATTTGTTTGGTGCAAGTGAGGTTTTATTTAATCTCTGACCAAGGAAAACGTTTCATTTTTTCAAAAAAATGTTTGTTAAAGAAAAGTCATGGTTCCACAGTGGGATTCGATCACAGACCGTATGACATGGGAGTCAGGAACCGAACCCACAGAGCCACCGGCAAGATCACATGCAGAGTGCTGAAAAAGCACTACAGAAACATTATCAACAGTCAATGTACAGCGTGTACTATTCTTGTGTTGCTGTACATGAATATAATTATATCATTATTAATTTCTTTAGATA